GGCTTCAGCGTGGCCCACAGCAGCAGCTTCTCTCCAGGGCGCACCGACTCCTCGTCGTCGAGAGGTGGCCCGTGTGCTCCTGCCGTGTCATCGTCCTCCGTATACTCGAAGAGGTACAGTTGGTCCTCGTCGAAAATGCATCCGGACAGCGCGTCCGAGACCCGCAGCCTCGCTTTGACCTCTCCGGCCTCGAACGGGCCCCCCTTGAGCAGCACCCACTGATCGCCTTGCTGCGGGACAAAGACTCGTACTGGGCTGGCCCGGGATGCTTCATCCTCGGCTACCCTCGCCTTCTTCTGGCGGCGGTTCTCTTCCTCCTCGTCCTCGTCGGGGCTCTCTCCCCCGTCGTCGTCACCATCACCACCTCCGCCAGGTCCACCTCCACCTCGAGCGGCAGCTTCGCGCGCCTCACGCTTGCGTGCTTTGTTACGCTTCCAGCCTCCTCGCTTGCCGCCCCGCTTGCCGCCCCACTTCTCGTCGCCACCGCGCTCGATCACGATCAGCTCACCGTCGGCCTCCACCCCCGCCTCGTCCTCACCTTGGCGTTCGCCCTTTAGGCTTTCGCCGTCCTCCTCCGCCGCGTCCCTCTCCGGGTAGCCGTCCTTTGAACGACCGCCGCTGCGGGGGCCCTTTGAGCCCCCGTCAACTCTGGCCTCCGTTGAGCTTCTCAGTTTCGGGTGGAGTAGGCAGTCCGAGATGCCGCAGCGGCTGAGGGGGGCCTCAAGCCAGCTGTCGTCGTGGCTGCAACTGCACTCGTGCCGATCCTCCTCTGCCTTGCCAGTGATGGCGCTCCTCTCCAAGCTGCCGCACTCCTCGCCGTGCTCGCTGATGATCCCGTCCTCGGTCACAGTGCCCTCTGCCGCACAGGCCGACGGGCTTGATGAAGGAGGGGGGTCTTGTTCCAGGGCGTCAAAATGCCCGGCCCGCGCCACCTTGCTTTCCAACTTGCCCTCCAAAGCCCGCGCCTCGGCGTCCATCGCCGCAATCTGCTGTTCCAGCTTCGCAGGAGCGGTGCCGGCAGCCGCTGCTTTCAGCGCGGCTGCCCAGGCAGCGCGCAGCCGCGGCGCGTGCTGCCCCGCGTGCTGGGTTCTCCGCATGCCCCGCAGCCCCAGCCCGAAGCCGGCGCTTCCCAGCTCCCCCTTCACTGCAGCGCTGAGCTGGGGGGTGCCGCTGGGGACGCGCCCTCCACCCTCCAGATTGGGCGGAGCTTGCTTGCCGATGATGAAGCGGAGCTCACCCTCGTGGGTCTTTCCGAAGTAGAGGGCCCATTGGTTCTCGGGCAGGGCGGGGTAGTGCCGCTTGGTGCGGAAGTCCACCCGCGCCCAGTGGAAGTTGTCTGGGGCGGCCCGCGCGATGAGCTGGTTCACGCGGAGCGGCTTGTCGTCCGGGGGCAGCCTGACTGTGACGCCGTCCTCGTCGAGGCCGTAGCACCCGCTGGCCTCGCCCAACTTGGTGCTGAGGTTGATCAGCTCGCTCGCCTCGGCCTTGCTGAGCCGCGTGCGTGTATCGAGGTTGTAGGCTTCCACCTGGGCGTCCGTCAGGTCGTACGGCAGACCGTCCTCCAGCGTGCGGTGCGTGTGCTTGCCCGAGCACCGCCTGGCCAAGATCAGAGCATAGGGGTAGATCCCGAGTGATACCAGCCACCAGGTTCGCTTCTGGTACCGGTGCTGGGGCTCGTCTGGGGGTGCGAGCCCCCACTCGCACATGTTTATGGCGAGGGCCCGTGCCCCAGTCGCGTGCACCAGAGCTCTCATACAGGGTCGATCCCAGAGCTTGGGGTACCTGCCGTCCCGCGCCGAGGACTCGATGAGGAATTCTCGTCCTGCCTCGTAGCCCCGCTTCGCCCCTGTGCACGCCAACTCCCCGAACACATTGCCATCGATCTCAACCTGACGTTCGCCAGTTCCGTCTGGGCACTCAAAAGTCCTCGTCCCTCCTGCTGCCAACTGCCAGGGGCAGTGACTCACGCAGGGAGGAGCGAACTGTAGCACATTGGCTTCGTCTGGGCCTGGAGGCGCACTGAACTCTTGGTACAGGCGCTCGCGCACTAGCGGGTCGCGGATGTCGAACTGCGGCCTGGGGTCCTTGCTGAGCAGCGGCTGCCCGTAGTACTCGACGGACTCGCTGGTGGCGATGCCAGCGTTCTTCATGGCCTGCGTCCAGCGCCCTGTGCCTGCGAAGATCTCCCGCGTCCTGAGCCCCCAGGCGAAGGCGGGTCGGGAGCGCAAAGGTGCCAGGTCCTTAAAGTCTGGGCAGGCCACCTCGGTGGGGAGCTCGACCACGGCGGGCGAACCGCCGGCGGCTCTCCCACGCTGCTGCTGCTGTGCTGCAAGTGCCCTGCAATGCTGGCACGGCTGAGGCTTGCTGGACACCGCCGGGCTGCCCTCCTCCTCGGAGGCGAGGTATGTCTCCCAGCCCATGGTGGGAAGCTCCTTGAGGTCCTTCCCGCTTGTGGCCCAGGTGCGGATCAGCTCGTCGGCCACCCGTCGGCCTTCGGCGCCGGACGGGGGGTGGAGGACACGCATGTGCCCGCGGTGGATGATCACGTGGCACTCCTGCTTGGTTTCTCCCGCTGGAAGGACCGTGTCAATATCCAGATGACCCCAGTGATCCGCCCGCCAGACTCTGAGCACCACCTCGTCCAATGCCTCGCATGGGAAGCGAGCCGCACACCTGAAATCCTTGTCGTGGTCGCGGTGCACCGCGTCGTGAATGTGCATCCGGACCTCGGCCTCCCTGGGAGATATCCAGGGTGGAGCTCTAGCGAGGCCTGCAGCAGCGTCGGTCGCCTTCTCCAGGAGGTCCCTGCGGATCTCGAGGGCCAGGTCCTTGACCTGCTGGGCGTCGGGTGGTGCGTCAAGCTGCACCCAGAGCTTGGCTGCCGCCAGGTGGAGCGGGAGACATTGGCGTTCTTCCGGAACTCCGGCGGGCACGTGCAGACGCTTCGCGATGCACCCGTCGAGGGGCAGCTGGTCCTGGTAGTCAAGGTAATGCCAGGTCTGGCCCTGCACGGTGACGGAGCCTTGGCCCACCGACTTCTCAGCGTTCCACCGCACTGGGGTGATGATGACGTCTGGGTCGGCCCCCAGGTTGCCGGCTTTCGCCCCGATGCGGTCCAGGAGCTCGCTGGCTTCAGCAGCCAAAGTGGGGCCCCCGTGGCGCGTTGCCTCAAGGAGTACCTGCTCGACCGAGAGCTCTTCTTCGCGCCCGCGAGCACAGGCGAGGCGGGCCAAGACGTGTGACCTTAGGTAGTCACTGGCGTGGCTCACGGGGTCGAGCGCTCCGCTCTCCTGGACGGCCGCGAGCAGCTTCTGCTGGACCAGGGCCCCAGCGTCAGTGCAGACGCCCGTGCCGGTCAGGGCGGGGCTGTCAGCGCGCGGGTCCTCCAGCCAGGTGGCGTCGGGTCCTTGGGCAGCCTTGCGGAGCTCGGACTCCAGCTCGGCGCACTGAACCTCGGCGTACTCGTCGGGTGGGGCCCAGCCCGTCCTGGTGGACTGGTTCTCCGTTGCCCCCGCGCCTGCTGCCCGCTTGCTGTCCGCTTCGGTCTTGGCTTGGGCCCGCAGCTGCGCGATCCGCCCGTCGACCGAAGCTGGGTCGATCTTGGCGGCGTTGCGGAGCCCGCCCCGCCTGAGCAGCTGGCACTGCACAGTCCAGTGCACGTCCTTCAGGCCCTTGATGAGCTCGTGTGAATGCGAGCACCCTTGAGTGCCCTTCTTGCAGCCGATCCAGGTCGAGTTGTCCCAGCAGAGCGGCTTGCCCTGCTTATCGCAAGGTGCATGCCGGACGGAGAGCTTGATCTCCTGTGCGTTCAGCCGCTTGCCCGCAGGGTAGGCGGCGCGCGCTGCGGTGGCCTTCGGCTGGGCCTTGGCCTTGGGCTTTCTCTTGGGCGCTGCTCCTGCTCGCTGATCTTGCAGCTCAACACCCGGTTCGTCAGCTCCCCCTCCGACCTCTCCTGCTTTGCCCGGGACGCCGCGCGCCCCGTGCATCGAGTCGTTGAGGACGGTATGAAGGTAGCGCTGCTGGCGAGGGCGCACGACCTCCTGGTAGTAGCCCGTGGGGGACTCTATGTCGAAGACATTGGGGAAGACGAACGCCGGACGGCCATCTGCCTTGGGGGCGAAGGCCACCATCTTGAGGTCCTCCTTCCGGGGGTTGTCCGTCTGCAGCACGCGCAGCTGGCTTCGCTTCTTCTCCCGGAGGCGCTCACACCAGGTCGACCACAGCTCCTCCCAGAGCTCATAGACGAACTTGGGCGGGAAGGCGTGGTCGTCCTTGTCGCACTCCCGCGCGAGGGTCTCCAGGCAGTCCAGACGCTCCTTGACGTGCTCCCGTCCGAAGACGAGCCCGAAGAACTTGGTCATGTTCTGGGCCTGCCGCCTCCACTGGTCAAAGACCACCGGCGCCCTGGGCCTGGGCTCCAGCTTGGTGTCGTGCGGCGCGCTGTACTTGTCGAACGCAACCGTCTTGCATGTCGGGAAGTCCGCCGCTGAGGCCGACCACGGGGCCAGGTTGTCCAGGCTGCTGCCGCCGAAGCTGAGCGAGGCGCAGGCCATCGCGATCCTGTTGGACACCGTCGTGGGCGCTTCGACCGCCAGGATCAGAGCCTTGTTCTGCTCGCAGGTCCGGCGCAGAGCATAGAACAGCTCGCGCCGAAGGACCTCGTCACAGACCTCCACCGTCAGCTGGCCGCACCCGCGCGCCAAGTAGACGTCCAACTCCTCCGCCCTTCCCAACGCCGCCACCGTCCCGCGCTGGGCCGCCTTGTCGCCTTGGCGCGCGCTAGCGACGCCCTCCAGGGCGTGCAGCATCCGCGCAGTGTTCGCATCCAAGGGCGCTCCGGGCTGCATGAGGCCGAACGGGTCACCTCCTCCGCCTTCCTCTGGGGCTCCCGCGGCGTAGCGTGCCGGGGCTGCTGTCAGACCTGGGGGTAATCCCAAGTCGCTGACGTGATGGTCGTAGCGGAATAAAGCCCCAATATTTGGAGCTTGTGGGCGAGCGACCGGGGCGAGCTCAGCCGTGGTCGGCAGGGGGCTGGTGTCCCGCGGCCCAAGTGTGAGCGCAGGTGCGGGCGCCGCCGGCTGGCGGGGCGGCCGCATCTCGATCGAGGGCACGCTCTCGGCCTGGGTGGCCGGCGGCCCTTGCGAGCGGTGGCGCTCGGGCGGGAGCTTGAGCAGGCCCTGCAGGCTGCTCGGCGCCGCCTCCGGGGTCTGGGGTCGCGAAGGTACCTGCTGCAGTTCCTCCCAGCTGCTGATGTGCCCATCGAGCCGTGCGAGCTCCTCAGGCTCGGTTGTCTGCTGCCTGAGGTGCTGTGCGTAGCGAATGAGGTTGGCGAGCACCTGGTGAGCCTCTTCGCCGAAGCCGGCGGCCACACTTGGCACCGCCGCTGCGTCGCCCGACCCTCGGGCCTTCTCTTCCAGGTAGCACGCCATCATGTCCCCGCCGTCGTCCTCCGGCTGGCTCTCCCCCGAGGCGGGTGCTTCGGAGCTAGCTGCGCGCCCGCCCTCGGCTGACGGAGAGCGCGAGCCGCGCCAGGCAGCCCCAGCTGGCGGCTTGGGCGAGCTGCTGCGGCCTAGCCGTTGCCAGTGGCGGCGCAACTTGGCGTCTGCCTCGGTGGCCCTCGCCTCGAAGCTCGGGCTGGGTGCCACGCCCCCCTCAGGGTGCCACCGGACTAAGCTGGCCACCTTCTCGCGGAGCAGCTGCCAGCGGGCCTCGCTGAGCGGCCCAGCGCGGCCGCCCACGGGGAGCCCGTGCCACGCAGCCAACTTGTGCCAGACCTTCTCAGGTACGTTGGTCGCCGAGACGCTGTTGCCGAGCTCCTCGCAACCCAGGGGCGCGTGGTGGAGCATCTCCTCGATGAACCCTGCGGGCGGGCGCCCTGAGGGCCCCGGGGCAGGCGCACGGATCACGCCGTCGGGCTTCACCAGGAAGCGGATGACGGTGCCTGTCGGATCCTCCGCCTCGAGGGCCATCGCGCCGTCAAGGTACTCGGCGACCGCGCTGGCCGCGGTGGCGTTGGCTGCCTTTCCCCTGAAGATCATCCACTGCGCCCCTTCCGGCCATTGCACCCTCGCCCGAACGATGAAATGCTGCCCGAGCGGCATGGGCGGCGGCGTAGGCGGCTTGGGGAACTCTGGGGCCGGCGGCGCTTCGAACCGCACGCTCGGTGGCCCCGCAGGCGCGGGAACGGGATCGCCTGGGCTGGTGGGCGCTTCCGGGGCAGAGACCGCCGGGGTGGAGCGCTCTGGGGTGCGGCTCCGGGCTGGAGCGGCAATGGCGCGCTCCAGTGTGCGGCTCCGAGGAGCTGGGCTCCTCCGGGTTCGACGCCGCAAACCCGCGAAGAACCCGCCGCCCGTGGGGGCGTCGTTGATCGCCCTGGCGGCATCGCCACCGAGGTGCTGCAGGCAGAGTGGAACCCCTGAGGCCATGCCCACCGCCTCGCGGAAGCACGTCACCTGGGAGCACTTCTCGCAATAGCGTAAGACCTTGTAGATCTGCTTGTGATGTTCGCATAGGCAGGCCGTTGCATTCCCTTCACTAGGGGGCTTGAGGTCCGAAGCTCGGCCGTCCTCCACCAACAGCACGGTCGGCTCACCGCGCGCGGCGTCGCGACAGCCTTCAGGCGCTAGTGTACGCATCTTGCCTTGGATCATGAGCCCCACTTTCACCGCCTCACAGGGGTTGTCCTCGACGTCCACCTCGGACTCGGACTCCTGGTCGAGCAACCTCGCCACGGACCCCTGCACACCAGGCTCCGCATCGCCAGTCTTGCGACGGCGGCGTCGCCGGCGGCAGAGGCACGCCCCGCAGCACGAAAGCCACGAGATGACGTACAGCAGCAGCTTGTAGGTCAGGCCCAGCCACCGCCAGAGCCAGACGCAGATCCGGCATGGTGTGAACTTCGAGTAGTCGCCGAGGTCTACGATGGCTTCGTTGTCGATGGCTGCGTATTCCTTACAGTGCAGCTCGTTCTCGCGCCCCTTGCACTCAGTGCAGCTGGCTGATCGGCGCAGGTGGAGCCAGCGCGGGTCGCGCTGCTCGAGCTCGCGTCGGAAGCCCTTGTCGCTCGCGCCCTTCACGGAATCGTTCTCGACCCACAGGCCTTGGCGGTTGATGCGCTCCGGGGACTTCATGTTGAGCTTGAGCCGCGCAACCCGATAGGCGACCCTGATCAGGAGGTCGTTCTGGCCACGCTTGGAGCCCCTGCCCTCCTTGATGCTATTGCGGTACCAATCGGTCGTCGGGTCTGCGCCCGCGGCTGGACCATGCCATGCCACATCGGTGAGGGGCGGGGCCGCCGGCGGGACCAGCTTGTCAAACTTGGCCTCGCCAGGCGTCTTGCGTCGCGGGCACGGGCAGCGTGCCAACGCCAGGCCGCGCGCCCGTGCCGCCCAGCTGCAGGGAGCGAAGAGCGTCCTCAGGCTGTGGGCCAGGAGTGCGACCACGCCGGTGCCGGCGAGGATCGCCACGAGCCCGGCGACCAGCGGCCACGCGGAGCCGAACAGGTAGAGGCCCATCTGGTCGGCCATGTAAAGCACCCAGCCGCCGTCCGAGCTCAGCCAGCCTCCTGCCTCGCGCGTCGAAAAGGCGGACCTGAAGCTGCCGAAAACCATTAAGGTGCCCCCGCCCATCCCCTCGGCGAACCAATGTGTGCGGTTGCCGATGTCTTTCCAACTGACGCCGAAAAGACCCCAACCCCCGATCCAGGACGAAGAGTTCGAGTCGGAGGAGTTGGGGGGGGCATGGGTCGGGTCCTGGGGAGGAGGATCGGCCGGCGGCGCGGAGCGCTCGCGCGGCGGGGAGCGCTCGCGCGGCGGACCTCCATCGGCACCTCCCGTGGGGGCGTCGTGCTCGCCCGCTGGGTACGCCCCGATCGGCAGCGCGTCCCTGTGCAGGAAGGGGACCGCGGTGCCGTCGAGCCAGAACGGCTTCATGTCCACGTCCAGCGCGTCGTCGTAGTTTGACGGGTACGTGTACTCGGCCTCGTAGTCTGGGGCCGTCCGCCAGAGCCTGGGCCCGGCGTCTGCGGTCTCCATCGTCATCGCGAGGACCATGAGCAGGGCTGCAGCGCGGCCGCGACGCCCGCCCGAGGGCGGCGGCGCCAAGGCCCCGGGGCAGCTCGTCCAGGCGGGCCCCGGCGCGCACGCGCGCTCTGCCGCCCTCGCCTGGCGTCGAGCCGGCGCCGGCGCTGGCGCGCGCCTGGCCGCCCGCTCGGCGGTGGCCGGCGGCGGCCGCGCCACGGCAGCCGCCTCCTCGCCCTCGGGTGCTCCGCGGCTGGCGTGAGCCGGCGCCGCTCGGCGCCCGGGCCCTCCGCCGCTGCGCAGCTGCGCGCCCGCGGGCAGCGTCGCCGCCGCCCCCCAGCCGCGCGGCGCCGGGCGCGGTTTCATGCGGCCGCGGGCGCCCCCTTTCGGGTCCGGTCCCGGGTCCCGAAAAGTCTTCTGGCCCCGGTCCCGGGGCCCGGCCTTAGGCCAACTGAGGCCGACCCAGCTTGGCCTTTGAAAAGGCTTGAGCCGCCAGGCGGCGGAGAGTAGGGAAGAAGCGGGAGAGGGCAAGCAAGGGGTCAAGGGCAGGAGCAAGGGAACCGCAAGTGGAAGCCCGCGCCAGTTCTGGAGGCGGGGAGATCCATCAGTTTTATCAAACATCCTATTTTGGTGCTGCTTGACTGGGGGGAAGCGTTCGGCAAGTCAGCCAGGCCTGGCTTGATTAACGCACTGCAGCGCATGGGTGTGCCCCCCCAATCTCGTTGCCGTCATTCGGTCACTATGCGCGCGCGCAGAAGTGAAGGTGGAGCGAGGAGGATCGCCGTCGACTTGGACGGAGCAGGAAGGAACAATGCGCGTGAATCAGGCAGGGGTGCCCGCTGTCGCCGCACTTAGCTTTCGTTGTAATGGTGGTCATGTTTTCGGACATTCGCGCCGAACTGGACGGGCGCTGGCAGCGAATGGGATCAGCGGACTGGGCGTTAACGAAGTTCTTCATGCAAGTGCCAGCGTGGATACCCGCGCCCTGAACTCGTTTTTCGCCCTGCTCGAGACGGAGAGCCAAACGTAGGGGCTCAAGTTGATCAGAGACAATGCCACACGATCACGACTGGAAGCAATCCAAACGTTTTTTTCCGCGACGGTATCCGGGTGCCAAACATGGAGGAAGTTCAGTACGTGGGATGCCATCTCATCCAAAAGAATCAAGCTTTCAACGAGGACAAGAAGAGGATATCCATCTGCATGGTATTGCTCAAGAAGCTTGTGGCTTTTTGGCTTCGCAGCGATTGCCCGACATGTTTCAAGCTACTTGTGCTGGGCGCAGTCATCCAGTCCAAGCTGTTGTGCGGACTAAAATCGGCGCAACTGTTGGCGGCAGTTCTTGGCCAATCGAGCGTGATCCAATTGAAAGGCTTGCGAACCATCCTACGCATAGAAACGACGTGCGTCCATCGCGCCAAGAGTGACGCTGCAATCGTGAACCTTTCCAACCTAAGGTGAACAGCCCGGCAGGGCAGGGTAGGCTCAAGTTATTGTATGATGTCCACAACCACCGAACATTATATTTCTTCAACAAGTGCTCGCAGCAAACGCTGACGACCCCCTGGGACAGGCCACCTTCGAGGCGGATTCGAATCGCCCCAGGGAGTTCGGTAAGGAACGGGTAGGGCCCCCGAGGCTCAGATGGGCGTTGGAGGCTTTAAGAGTGGTGGTCCCAGAGTTTGGGAGCGGGGATGCCAACCTCGGCAACCCATCGCACGCGGCCGCAGTACCCACCGCGGGAAGGTGCGGAGCGTGCCCGTGATGGAAGTCTGATCCCCCGGACTCTCCTTTTTTCCCCGCCCCGACGCGCCCCTTCCGACTCGCGGCCATCAACATCTCTCGCCCCCCGCCTCCTGCTTGCTCGCCGTGCAGGGCGTGGCGTGGTTTTGATTATCCAGTCCAGTTCGGGCACGACGCCGCCGCAACGGCGCCCCCCAGGCGCCCATTCGCGCGTCTGCGCGCCCGGCAGGGGAAAAATATTGTTCCGCACGTATTGCACAACATCTATTTGTTGGAACGCGCCGTTTGGGGTCCACGCTGGTCGACATTCGTTTTTTCGCTGGCGTGGCGGGGGGCCATGGCCGCGCGGCCCTGGGGCCCGTCCGACCGAGCGCGCTGAGATGCGCTGAAGCTTCTGGGAGCTCTCTCGAGGGTATTAGGGCGTCGGCTCCAGGCCTCTTCGCTGCCAGCCAGCAGAGCGGGTGGACTGGAGGAGCCATTGCGAGCACGGCTTGCCTTCGCCCAGCTCCCTGCGCGGGGCGGCGGCGACCAGGTGGCGCCACGTAGCGAGTGATATTATGAGGCGCGAACTATCGTGAATTCCATTAGGCGCTGCCGATGTGGGCTGCGCGACGCGAGCGGGTGCGCCAGGAAAAACACCCAACCGGGTGGGTGGGCAGGCGAAGCCTTCACATGCAAAACGCGCGGTGCTCTCGCCGCAGGCGACAGCGACATTGCGAGCCGAGGCCCAGAGGCGGCCGCGAGGCAGAGCCCTCGGGCCAGTGCCTGGGCGGGCCGACGGCGCCCCGTGGCCTTCCGCTGGACGCGTTGGGCGCCCCGAAGTAGTCGCAGCGGGGAGGCGGGGTCCCGAAGGAAACGTGTCGTGCGTGAAAGTTTTCCCCATATCCTAAGATGGGGTTCTTGTTATTGCCTGGACGCCTCCTACTCCCTCTTCTCCCCTCCTCTCGGACTTACTCATACTCAGACTTACTCATGCCCAGACTTACTCATACACATACTTACTCATACTCAGATCTACTCATACTCAGACTTACTCATACTCAGACTTACTCATACCCATACGTACACATACACATACTTACTTCTACACAGTCTTACTCATACCAACAACTTACTCATACCCAGACGTACTCATACACAGACCTACTCATACACAGACTTACTTATACTCAGACCTTCTCATAGTCAGACTTACTCATACGCAGACTTAACTTATTCAACACACAGAAGATTCGGAGTATGTCTCAGGCGTGGCGCTGGTTTCAGCACCCCAAGCGGGAGCCGCCAGGGGTGTTTTCACGGGCCCGTTCGCGGCCAGTTTGTGGGGATGTCTCAGGCGGTTTGGCTGTTTTGGTGGGCAGACCCGTTTGCGTTTACAGCAGTTTGTGAGGATGTCTCGGGCGGGGCGCTGGTTTCAGCACCCCTAAGGGGAGCCGCCAGAGGTGTTTTCACGAGCGCGTTCGCGGCCAGTTTGTGGGGACGTCTCAGGCGGTTTGGCTGTTTTGGTTGGCGGACTCGTCTGCATTTAGACATGTTTTGAGCAGTTTGTGAGGATGTCTCAGACGGGGCGCTGGTTTCAGCACCCCAAGCGGGAGCCGCCAGGGGTGTTTTCACGGGCCCGTTCGCGGCCAGTTTGTGGGGATGTCTCAGGCGGTTTGCTCGTTCTCATGCCTCACATCCTTTGCTTTCAGATCAGATTTTGGGGATGTCTCAGGCGGGGCGCTGGTTTCATCACCCCTAAGGGGAGCCGCCAGGGATGTTTTCACGGGCCCGTTTGCGGCCAGTTTGTGGGGATGTCTCAGGCGGCTTGCTCGTTCTCATGCCCAACATCCTTGGCTTTCATCGCAGATTGTGAGGATGTCTCAGGCGGGGCGCTGGTTTCATCACCCCCAAGGGGAGCCGCCAGGGGTGTTTTCACGGGCCCGTTTGCGGCCAGTTTGTTGGGATGTCTCAGGCGGTTTGCTCGTTCTCATGCCCAACATCCTTGGCTTTCATCGCAGGTTGTGAGGATGTCTCAGGCGGGGCGCTGGTTTCAGCACTTCTAAATGGAACCGCCAGGGGGTAGGACACGGGCCCGTTCGCGGCCAGTTTGTGGTGATGTCTCAGGCGGTTTGCTCGTTTTCATGCCCAACATCCTTGGCTTTCAAATCAGATTTGGATGATGTCTCAGGCGGGGCGCTGGTTTCTTTCAGCACCCCTGAGGGGAGCCGCCAGGGGTGTTTTCACGGGCCCGTTCGCGGCCAGTTTGAGGAAGGGGAATGGATGGGAGGCTCATATTCAATCATATTCAAAGCTCACTTTGACTCATACTCACTCACTCGCATTCGGATTCATTCGTCTTCGTCGGCCCTGCCGCCCATGTGGACGCGTTATTATAGTCAAGCGCTCATGAACAGACGCTTGCTATGGCATGACATAAAACATGAGATGCACATATGGGGAGCTCCACGCAGTGAGTAAATTCGCTGGGCCTTTTCCGGGCCCCAGAACCGTCGAAAACGTTTTGCAATTCGGCGGCGCGCCGAAGGCAGAGATGAGAGGGGTCGGGCCTTTCCAGAAGGCGGCTTGGCTTCGAGGGCGGGTCATAAAACGTCCCGCGAGGCCGGGGGCCTTTTGAGCCTTCTGAAAAGACTTGCCGTCTCTGCCTTCCCCCCTGGCGCGCCGCTGAACAATGAAGAGTCATCCCAGGGGGCACCGTGGGGTTCAGGGCCTGTTTCCACCATGACCCTTCTCACTCGT